CTAGCCCATTCACAAATTTTGTATGTTTTAATTTTCATTCATCTCGATGAGTTTACTAAAGTTCTTTATGTTTGGCTTTTTCATCTGTTGGTGACTTTAATTTTTGGAGTTAAATTGGTATTTAAAATTCCTAAATATATTTGTGTTATTAATTTCCAAGATTGGTTCCTTGTGATTGGAACACATTGCATACATTAGTTCCATTCTATACATATAGTCTGGTTTAAAGCTTAGCATAAAGGTGTTAACATAAAAACACAACTCTCACTTCAAAAGGGATAAGAGATAATTTATTCTGGAGTCAAATTCAAGTGACCAATGGCCCAGGAACACAGATTCAGGTTATCCCAAATTCCATGTTCCAATAAGGTGGCAATTTTAAGAGGTTTTTATATAGACAAAACAAAGAAGGCAATAAATCAACACACTTTTCAAATACATTGGTGGAAACATCAGGTAGGCAAGTCACAGAAACTTCTGCTATAGGCTTCAGGTGCTATTTGATGGTATTCTTAGCCTTTTCTTTGATAGGATCTAGATTTCTGTTTATACATTCCAAAAGCTTTACCTAATAGCCATAAAAATGTTACAAAATGTTACATACAAAAGAGAGCAAAAAATGGCTGAAGGTGGCCCAAAATAATTTGGCTCTAGAGTTGTAACACTCCAACTCTACAATCATTGAAGTTTTAATCAGTTGATCACCCTTGTAGAGATACAGTGTAAGGGGCTGTTTTTTCCAGGAATTTTAATTCACAGAAGCTATCCTAAAGAATGTTCATGTGCAACTGAGAGGAATGTATTCTGGTTTTGGTTATGTACATTCCTTTCACGTCTAATTGGACAATAAAGTTGTTCCTGATTTCTATTCCTTTTTTTCTCTTCTGCCTAGTTATTCTATACATTGATGAAACTAGGATATTAAAGTGTCCATACATTATTCTTAAATTTTTTAATTCTATCTTCATTTGTCAATATTGCTACATGTAGTTTACTGGTATTTTATTAATTGCCCATACACCTATTCCTACTGGTACTTTCTTAATGATAAATTGATTTAAAAATCAGGGTGATACTGGCATAAAAACAGATATATAAACAAATGGAGTATTATACAGAACACATAAGTAAATAAACTAAGCAGTCAACCAGTCATTGACAAATTCATCAAGACTATACAACAAAGAAATTAAATATTCTCCTTAATACCATTTAGTGTTAGGGAAACATGCAAGGAAGAATGGAACTTGACCCTTACCTTACACCATGCACAAAAATCAAAGTCAAAATAGATTAAACACTCAAATGTAATATCTGAAACTTTTATAGTTTTATACTTCTAGAAGAAAAATTTAGGAAAACTTCCTCTGTTGGAGGCCAAGCCTTAAGTGTACCCCTGCCCCCTGCCCCAGTTTGAAACAACCAGGTGGCCTTGTAAAAACATGTTTTTCTTGCCCTGATTTTTTTCTACATTTTACTTCCTTATCTTGTGAAACCACCAGGGCTCATGACTGTAGTAGAAATTCCCCAGCAGGGCCTTGCCGCCTTCCTCCCCCCCCACCCCCGCCTTCTCTCTGCCCTTTACCTTCCCCCACCCTCCGCTTTACTATATTAACACTGTGTGATTGCTCAATAAAAGAGACTTGATCAGAATACTGTCTTGTCTCCATTTCTTCGTGCCCCCTGTCTATTCATTCCTCCAGGTTCAGTCTCAGTGCCCCACGCTGTTGCTCCGCGGGTTGGGGCATTCCTCCATATTGACACTGACCATTTTTCAACATATAACACCAAATCCACAGGCAAAAGAAAAAACACAAAATAAACAAGTATGATTAAATAAGACTAAAAGGTTTCTTCTTTGAAAAAGAAAAATGAATTAAATTAAAAGTTAACTTACAGATCCCAGCACTCATGAGGCAGAGGCAGGTGGATCTCTGTGAGTTGGAGGGCAGTCTGGTCTACATAGCGAGTTCCAGACCAGCTGGGACTACAGGGAGACCCTGTCTCAAAAAGACCAAAAAAAAAAAAGTTAACTTACAGAATGGGAGAAAATATTTACAAAGCAAATATCTTACAAAGGGTTGTCATCCAAGATATTTAAGGAATTCATACAACTCAAGAGCAGAAAAACCAAATAACAATTTAGTAACAGGCAAGGGATCTAAATAGACATTTCTCCAAAGAAAATATAAAACTGGTCAACACATATATGAAAAGTTGTTCAACATCACAATTCATTAGGGGAATGTAAATCAAAACCACCTTGAGATACCACTTTATATCTATTAGAATTCTTTTTTTCCATTCCTTTGGCAATGCCAAGGATTGAACCCAAGGCCACTCATATGTTAGGTAAGTGCTCTAACACTGTGTTGACAAGGATGTGGAGAAATAGGAGCCTTTGTTCAAAAAAGTATGAAACCATTACAAAAACAGTATGAAGCTCCCTCAAAAATCAAAACAGAACTACCACATTATACAGTGATCTCATTTATTTTTTATTTTTATGTTTATGAGCATTTTGCCTGCATGTATGTAAGTGCACCAATGTCATGCAATGCCTACAGAGGCCAGAAGAAGGTGCTGGCTCCCCCAGAACTACAGTTACTGACCATTGTTAACCACCATGTGGGTATTGGGAACCAAACCCAGGTTCTCTGCAAAAGCAGCCAGAGCTCTTAACCTCTGAGCCCTTTCCCCAGCCTGCAGTGATCTCATTTCTAAGTCTATATCCAAGAGAATCAAAAGCAATACCTGATAGATCTCTACTCCCATGTCCATTGCAGCACAGATGCTAAGTGACTAAGTAGATGGATGGGAAAAGAAAATGGCACACACACACACACACACACACACACACACACACACACGAATATTGTTCAATGTAAAAGATTCTTTGTTGACAAAGTCTTCCTAGTAGCCCCAGTTAGTCTAGAACTCACTAGTAGACTATCCCAGGCTGGCCTCCATCTCACACAGATCCACCTGCTTCTGCCTCCCCAGTGCTGGGATTAAAGGTGTGGGCTACCATGCCCGGAAAGAGGAACTCTTGCCACTTACAATAATGTATATGGGCCTGAAGGATATTATGCCCAGTGAAATAAGCCAGACATAGAAAGATATACCAAGTGAGCTCATGTGGAATGTAAAACAGGCTCACAGAAGCAAAGCATGATATCACATGGAAACGGGATGTGATATTAGAAGGCATACACTTTCAGGTATAACATAGTGCCTACAACTAACATTACTGTTAAGGTTCAGATAGCCCCACCCCCTCCACCAACAGGGCCTCAAGGACCTTGTCAGCAAGCCCACTGAGAAAAAGGAACTGAGTTGATAAGCATCCTGGTCTCTGAAGTCAAGAGAAGCAGACTCTTCTAAAAGGCAACTTGCTTTTCCTTTGATCTCCAAAGACAAGATAAACAGATTCCACCTTTTAACCAGAGACCTCAGGAGCCACTTCAGCACAGCAGTTTTTCCCTTATCTTAAGAGGACAAAAACAAACACTTCCTGACCCAGATCCTAGCTGACAGACAGAAGGGAGCAGGGTTTAACAGTCCTGCTCTCCCACTTCCCCCCACCTAACTTAAAAAAATATATATATCTTCCTGCCTTCTGCATCCTCCCAGAAGCCTCCCCCTATAAAAGACCCCAGCTCACTACAGGGGCAGACATTTTCTCTGCCCGGAAGGGAAAGTGTCCCATGTGTTCCTTTGCTAATAAACTCTATTCTGCTGGAGTTTTATATGTGTCCTGGTGCTTTCTCCCAATCAACCCAATTCATCCATCACCTACTTTACCTATCAACTCCTGTATTAAATATTTTAAATGTGCTGAGGGTGTAATCTTATATTGTGTTCTTACAACATATACAGAAAAAGGGAAGCAAACTTCAGTAGGTGGTGAGATACAATTACGGCCTTGATGGTGGTGATGGTTTCTTGGATTTCATACTTATTCCTAAAATCACTGAGTTGCAAACATTACTTGGGTACAAAAAATAATAAAGGACTTGATCAAGAGTCTAGCGGAAAGTCAATACACTCCGCTGTGGTTATAGGGGTGATTACTGACACTCACTAGAGGGTTAACACCAGCAATCATTAACGGTAGAAACACAGCCCTCTTCCATTAGGGCTTAGAGCCACAGACCTGCCACAGGATCATCATTTAAGGTCTGGAGACACACCTTGAAGTCTGCGTTAGGCCTAGTTTTCAGAAAAAAACAACGTAAGAAGAGGCTTGGATCTTGTGACTTACAGGGGGAAAGCCCTCAGGAAGAACATGTGAGCAAACCAAGACATTTGCAGGTTTGTGGACTCAGTTCAAACACTGGCTTCCATCTCATTGCAGGAGCTCTGGAGCATGACTGCATCGAGAGTGGAACGTGCTGACCCTTTATACTCCATCTTTCACTCCTGGTACGACCACCTAGGGCTTAGCAGTTCCCATCAGCCAAAGACAGCTTTCCCAAGAAAGGGAAAGTTGATCACTGAGCGATGTCGCGGCCGTTAAGCTCCAACCAGATCGGTCGCTTAATCTGCAGACCTGTCTCAGAAACAGGGCACAGAGACTATTCCCGAGTGAAAAATGAAGCACTAACACTAGGCCGGAGGTGAAGCAAGAACATGTATGAAAGCTACACGGCACGTCTTCGCCCGCCAGAAACATCAGCACCCAAAAACTGCAACCCAGCAGGGACAGAGGATTGTGCCGGCGCGGGGCTCACCGGGATTGGATGGAGGACCAGCAGAAGTCGCGGAAAGCTTGGAAACCTGAGTGGGTGGTGAGAGGACTCTCCGTGGACGGAACTAGGGGCGCAGCTCCAGAGTGGGCATGAACTACCTGCGCGCGGGGCTATGCCGGAACTCCCCGGTGTAGCGCCGCAGCCGGCCAGTTAAAACCGGGAAAGGAGTGCTGGAGCCTCAGCCGGGCGGTCCACCTTTCGCGTATTTCCGGCGCGCTGGCGGCCCTGACGCAAGCCAAGAGGCGACGCCTGCCAGTCCTGTCTGTGGGCCCGGCTTGCTCACAGGAAGTTCCGGCTGGGGCAAGGTTCTAGTACCCGGCCCAGCGGGTGGCCACGATGCGGCTGCGCTCCGGGGCCTTCGCCGCCAGCTGCGTAGCAGTTGAAGTCATCGGGGTCGCTATATTTCTTCGGGGATTCTTCCCCACTCCGGTTCGTTCCTCTGCCAGGCCGGAGCACCGAGCGGAGACCCCGGCGCCCGAGCCTGTAGCCGGTATGGACCCTTTTCACGGTGGTCTCCTCTTTCATTCTGGTCCCCCCTCCTCCCAAGAAACCATTCGTAATGCTCAACGTTGTTTTCTGTATGGTACTGCTTTGTGTTAGTCGCAGCCACCGGCCCTACCTCGACCTTCCTCTGTGATCATCAGAGTAAGCCCCGTGTAATTCCTGCCCTGCCTCTTTCTTACTGCTCAACCGCTGGCCCCTTCCCTCTTTCCTAGGAAATCCTTCGGTCACTCCCAATTCCAGGCACCTTGTTTTGCCCAATAGGACACAACAGGTAAAATCCCTCCCGACCCCCCCCCCATTTTTCTACTACACCTCTTCCACCTGAATGGTTAAGGACTTTCTGCATTGGGCCCCTTCACAACCCAGAAATACATGACAGGTACAGGCTCTGCTGCTCTGAACTACTTCCACACAATTCCAGCCACCAGACAGGTACACAAAGTTTGTAAGCCCTCCAGTTCCCTACCTGCAAGGCTGTTTTCAGAGCAGCATAGATCCATACTGTAGGGCTCTTATGTCGGGGCTCCCCTGGTCTGCTACTCTTAAGAATTCACTAAATATTACTGGGACAGAAACTCATTACTAACATACAGGCCCGCCTAGCCCAGGAGATGCCCTCCTTCTTAGTAATCTGACACCTGTGAGTTCCTTACAACCCTTGAAGGAACCTGTCCTGTTGGGTCTCTTAGCTTACAAGAAAACAAACTAAGCACTGGCTACCAGGAATGGGCCTTCTTTAGGATTGCAATATGTAGATGTAGCAGATTGTGTGCTAAACAAACAAAGATTATGATGGTGCTTGAATACCAAGTAAAATTTAAATTTCTCTTTTTTTTTTTTCAAACACTTTTAGGATCCAGTTCAAACTGGACAAAGCTGCCACCACCTCTCTTCAGTAAAGTTGTTATTGTGCTTATAGATGCCTTAAGAGATGATTTTGTGTTTGGATCAAAAGGTGTGAAGTACATGCCCTACACAACTTACCTGATAGAAAAAGGAGCATCTCATAGTTTTGTGGCAGAAGCAAAGCCACCCACAGTTACTATGCCTCGAATCAAGGTAAATTTGATTTGCTGTTTCATGAATTGTCCTTTGGTTCTTTTGAAAGTTTAGAGAGATTTTCTGGCATACTTGGAATCTCAATTTTTAAAAAGTAGAAAATAATTTGGTACTGTCAGTTTTGCTGGGGCAGTACAATACTGAAGAAACCTTCTAACAGGAGGTGAGACCCATGATTTGTGCCACTTAAGTAGCCAGAGTTCATACTTCATGGAAAGGAGAGAAGATTTAGAGCCAGATTATCCAGTCAACCTAATCTAAGAGATGTCCTCCTCCTTGATAACCTGCTAGTCATTAGGTTTGAGGGAGCCTACTCAGTCTAGTCTGTTAACTTTATACATAAGAAACCAAACTGAGTTAAATTATTTGTCTAAATTATGTAATACAAAGAGATCAAACCAGTATAATCTGGCTTCAACAGTTGTTGCTTCTAGCACATAATTAGGCGATCATCCTGGTAGAGGTAATTTTGAAGTTCATAGTGCCCCAAAATCATGAATGAATAAATAAAAAAAAAATGATGTAGGGGCTGGAGAGATTGCTCAGTGGTTAAGGCCACTGGCTGCTCTTGCAGAGGACCTGGATTTGGTTCCCAGCTCCCACATGATGGCTAACAACCATCCATAACTCCAGTTCCACGGGATCTGGCACCCTCTTCTGGTCTCTGCAGGCATTGTACCCACACAGTGCACTTATATATAAGGCAAAACATTCATACACATAAATTTAATTTTTTTTTTTTAATGAAGCTCTGTAGTAGCTCTGGCTCAGACTACTTACAGAACTCGGTCCTGATATTATAATGGATATATGTTTAGAGTGTGCAGGTAAAATTCCTTCTGGGAGGCACAAATGACGTCCAGCCCCCTCCTCCCACCTCCTCCCTTGGTTCCTATGACAAACCGATTTCACCAAACTCCAGTGAGTTTATTGGGCTTACATACAGAGCAGTGGATGAGAGTCTACTTACAGGAGTATGGCCACAAAAAAGTGGTGAGAGACCCTCCCCATGGCTTCCTCAGCTTATATACCCTTAGCCCCTCCCCTTCTTGGGACTACAATAGTCAGCAAGCTTCACTGTGATGATCCTAGGCAAGCAGGTGCAACCAAGCTTGGAAAGAAGGCATCTGTCCATGGTCTGTCAGAAGACAGTTCTGTGCAACAGGTTGGAAACACTACTTCTGCTTCTATGGGGCTTTGAACCTCTATGGAGATACATAGTCTTTAGACAAATGAACATACGAATAAATGTATAATTACAGTGTGATGAGTGCCTGATGGGAAGGATATGACACACAGTATAGGGGCAAGTGGGCTTAGAGCTCAATTGAGTTTTTGGAATGAGGAAAGCCTGGAGGAAACTATACTGAAAAAAGACTATCAGGATGAGTAGGAGAGTTCTGACAGATACAGAAGTATTTGAAAATCTGTGACTATGATGCATTTAATATGGAAAGCCCTGCTTCCTGTCTACAGCCTTTTTTAAAATTTATACTTTTATAGTATATGAGTGTATTGCTTGTATGTGTATAACTGCACCCATGTTGTACAATACCCACAGTGGTCAGAAGAGGACATTGGATCCCCTGGAACTGGAGTTACAATGGTTGTTAGCCACCATTGGGTGCTGAGAATCAAACACAGGTCCTCTGCAAGAGCAGTCAGTGCTCTTAACCACTGAGCCTATAGCCTTTATATCTCAGACTAAATGATTCTTCCATAAGAGTTATTCAAAATTGACAGCCACTAAAATAGTCTTAGTTAAATATATTATTGTATATTCACAGTCTGGAATACTTTGGAACTTTTTGTTTTGTTTTGTTTTTGTATATTTGAGACAGGCTGTCCCTGTAGCCCCAGCTGGCCTGGAACTCGCAGACCAAGGTGGCCATGATCTCACAGAGATCTGCTTGCCTCTGCCTCCTAAATTCTGGGACTAAAAGCATGTGCCACCGTATCTAACAGAACTATTTTCTAAAAGTAAAATAGCTACATGTTTCCTGAAAAGCAAGCAAGTTGCAGAATATAGCACCAAATATATTAAGATATGATCGTAAATCATACGGATTTGCTTATTTGTGATCATGTGTATATTAAAAAAAAAAAAAAAAAACCTAAAAAGTTACTCACCAAAAGGTACTGGTTACCTTTAAAGAGTAGAATTCTCAGTTGACTGAGACTCATGTTTAAAAAAAATAACTTTATTTAGGGATTGAAAAGAGCTCTTCCTGTTCTCTCAGAAGACCCAGGTTGTCTTCCTAGCACCCACATGGCAGCTAACAGTGATCTGTAACTCCAGTTCCAGGAGATCTGATGCCCTCTTCTACCTCCACAGGCACTGCACCTATGTGGAACACTTATATATATGCAGACAAAACAGTCATAAACATAAAAAAATTTTAAATAAATATTGGGGTGATTTTCATACAGTACTGTATGTTGCATATTTTTATGTGTATAATAATGATGAAATTTAATGAATATGTACATCCAACGAATCTCACCTCAACTTGTCTAAATATTGATTATACTGGGAATGGTGGTGGTTGTTGCTGTTATTTTGTTTGTATGATGATTAGCCTGAACTAACCTGAGAAGTCTTTCTTCCTAAGAATATGCAGCAAATGATGTCTTGCTTAGATTTTTTTTTAATTCTTCTTTTAATGATTTATTTTTATTTTATGTATATGAGTATTTTGCCTGCATGGATGTATATGCACCACATGTGTGCCTGGCACCTACAGAGGCCAGAAGAGAGTATCCAATCTCCTGGACCAAGAGTTACAGATGGTTGTGAGTCATCATGTGGGTACTGGGAATCCAACCTAGGTCCTCTACAAGAAAAGCAAGTGCTCTTAATAGCTGAGCAGCTCTCCAGCCTCTAGATTTTTAAAAAATTATTTTGGGGGCTGGAGAGATGGCTCAGCGGTTAAGAACACTGAGTGTTCTTGCAGAAGACCCGGGTTCAAATCCCAGCATCCACATGGCAGCTAACAACTGTCTGTAACTCCAGTTCCAGGGGATCCAACAGCCTCTTCTGTCCTCCACAGGCACTGCATGATTTACCTACAGTGCACCTACCTACATGCAGGCATAACACTCATACACATAAAAATAATAAATAAAATACTTTTTTAAATTATTATTTTAGTGGGGCATGGTGGCGCACACCTTTAATCCCAGCACTCGGGAGGCAGAGGCAGGCGGATCTCTGTGAGTTCGAGGCCAGCCTGGTCTCCATTGTGAATCCAGGACAGCTGGGGCTACATGGAGACCCTGTCTCAAAAAGGCCAAAACAAATAAAATAAAATTTATTATTTTATTTTTATTTTTCTAAGACAGGGTCTCCTTGCTCCAGCTGATCTGGAACTTGCTATGTAGACCAGGCTGGTGTTGATCTCACAGAAATCTGCCTGACTCTGCCTCCTAAATTCTGGGATTAAGGGTATGTACCAGAATGCCCAGCCCTTATTTTTATTTTTAAACCAGTCTTTCAGAGGGCTGCTTTGGTTCAGTATAGTTTAGTGGTCAGCCAGTGATTGGCAAAGGTTATGCTTAAGCATATCACACAAAAAGGCATCCACCTTCTGCCATGACTCATATGGGCTGGGACACTGGCTGTTAAGGTAGTTTTCAAGTCTGACCTAACTCTCATTATTTAAGCAGAGCCTTCCTCTCAGCCAGAAAAACTAATAACTGGAGCTATCTACAAGTCTCTATAGATTCCCAGAAATAACAGATACTTAGAAAACCTGACCATAGTTTTCTTATTCCCCAGAACCCCTTTTTGAATTTCAGGATGGTTTCTGCCTTTCACACTCGCTTTAATGAAACCCATAATAAAACGTCAGAGAAAAAAATGACATAAGAAAAACCACAGGTACAGTGTTTCCTTGAATAAGGACTTCTCAGTTTGTTGCATAACATTGATGAATATCAAAGTTCTGAAATTATTTCCCTGGATAGTTCTTGCCAGCTTTTCATTGTTCTTGGGGGCTAGAGGGTTTGACAGGCTCCTCAGTCTGGTGTTCTGGAAATCTGGTTCATTCATATTTACATGTTTGGCTAGTGATTAGGCTCAATGGTAGAGCATTTGCCTGGCATAGATGAATTCTGGGGTCAAGTCCCAGAACCTTAAAAACGTTTGTTTTTATTTGCCACTGAATTTCAGAATTCCTTTCAGAGTCCTTATCAAGATTGGTGTTCCTTTTCACATCAACTTCATGGATGCTGATGTCTTAGGTGATTATTTAACTCCAAATCATGAAGATTCATTACTATTTCTGTGGCCTGGTAGATTCTGTGATAAAAAGTGGAATATATTGACTCCACTCTATCTCAGAAAGATAGGAGAATAGTTCATATCCACTTCTTTATATGGTACAACTCTAGAGATGGAGTCTGACATCCCACTAACATCCCTGGTCCAGCTCACTTTGAGAGCTGCATACAGACAGGTTTTCCTCCTGCTTTTTACTTAGCGGTAGATATTAGACTTGCCTGATTGTTAGGTTTGGGGTTTGTTAGAGTTGGGGAATTTGCTTGTCACATGGGGCAAATTGAATCTTAAGTGGGACCCTGAAAAAGGGTCTGAATATGCAAGTTCTTATTTTCAATGCATGTACACATACCACGTTTGCCTCAACTGTCATTAAACCATAGCTACTCTTGACTGCCATTATTATCTAACTATTCCTATCTTCCTTTATCATCTTCCCACTAAAAATATTACCTGAACCTTGTTCATTAAAACAGTCAAGTCTTCTCTATTGAGTTTGATACTTTTGTCCAGAATCTGTGTCTTATCTCCCCCACCACACCCAGCCCACTTGCTTTCCTAGCTTTGACTCAACCCTTAGTATAGGACCTGCCCTGCTTTTGTGCCCACCTGTTTCACCCCCAAGTGATCTTCTGTTTCTTCTGTTGCATTTTTTGGATCTGTGATAAAATTCTTGTTTTGTTTTGTTTGCTTCCTGAAATAGGGTCTTCTTATAGCCCCAGCTGGCCTGGAACTCACTATGTAGACCAGGCTGGCCTCAAACTCAAAGAGATCCACCTGCTTCTGCCTCCCAAGTGCTGGGATTAAAGGCGTGCGCCACCACACCCAGCTCCTGTGATCTAATTCTTAATGTTTCTTCCTGCAGGCATTGATGACAGGGAGTCTACCAGGCTTTGTTGATCTCATAAGGAACCTCAATTCCCCTGCGCTTTTAGAAGACAATGTGATAGGACAGGCAAAGGCTGCTGGGAAAAGAATGATCTTTTATGGAGATGAAACATGGGTTAAATTGTTCCCAAAGCATTTTGTGGAATATGATGGAACAACATCATTCTTTGTGTCAGATTATATAGAGGTAAGTTTCTTTTTCTCTGTTTTCTTTTTCTTTTTTCTTTTTTTTTTTTTTAAATTCAAGATCTCATGTAGCCCACGCAGGGCTGGAACTTGTAGAAGAGGCCAACTTTGAACTCCTTACCATTCTGCCTCCACTTCAAGAGTGCTGAGAATACAGCATGTACCACATGCCCAACTTCAGAGGTCAGTTTCTTAAAAAGAGAAATATGCTTACCTAGATAAAGCCTGGTGCCACCATTTTCCACCAAGAAACAGTGTTATTTTGTGTGTGGTGTTTATTAATTTATGGAGTGGTATGGTGAGATTATAAAAATCTTTTGTCACATAGTCAGTTATTGCTGGTGGTGGAGATACCTGCCCAGCATCTGTTTCTAAAAAACTAAAATCAGACCAGGGGACCCTTGGCTTGTGCCAGATCAAGAGTGGCTTAATGTCTCTTGATAGGCTTTTTATTAAGAAGATCAGCCTATAAAATTCATACAAAGCTCACATATGATTAATGCTCAAGCAGTATAAAACACATAGCAATTTTCCCATCATAACAGTAAGAAAGCAGCACAGAATGCCCAAGGTTGTGGCAACTGGCCCAGTAACAGACCTCCTTTGATGGGTGCACAGATGGGGGCATGACAACCTGTTCCCAGCATTCCAGAAAACAGATGTCTTATCGGAATTCCTCCAGCACCCTGGGAGCAGACTGTCATCACCACCGCCCCCAAACCTCTGCATCAACAAAGTCCAAAGATGTCCATCAATTGCTAGGAGCATGTTAACTTTAGTGAATGGAGCACTATTGTCCTTAAGGGACAAGGGAGGTGGTTACATGGTAGCATAAACCCCAGTGCAAGTGTGAGCCAAGGTGTGTAGGACCCAAAATACAGATCAGTTGGGAAGCCGTTGAGGGCACAGAGGATCAGGAAGCATGCCACAGCAGAGGAGCTACATCACTGAGTATGAACTTTCCTAGAGGGATAAAGGGAGGTAGCAGAGCTATAGGACACCAGTGCCTGCCTGGGATCCTCTAGCTGTTTGGATCTGTAGGGAGAGCAGAGCCTTATAAAATCTTACCGAGAGAGGCATCTACCCATGCTGGTGGGGTACAGGCTCCAGCAAGGGAAAGACACTTCTCTTTGTGGTACATGTTTTAGTGAGAGGGAAATGGACTCATTGAAGACTCCGGGCTGAGTAGGTTACTGGCCCCATCAGGGGCTGCTTACCTACTAACATCTCTAAGATATTTGCCTCAGAAATGGAAGACGTTGTAAGTGCTGTCTCCTTCACTCTAAGAACAGCCTTCTCATAGACCTGCTACTTACTCTTAACTCTGAATACTGTGCTATCTTGATTAGTTGCCCTTCACCCTTCATACCCCCTGGATGCTTGGGGCCTATTTAACTTGCTCATTTGTTTAGCTTTAGTTAAGCCCAGCAATGCTCCCACAGGGGAAAAGAAATGTCAGAATAGTTCGTGCTTTTTTAAATTTTCTATGTACTAGCGTGGTGGCGCACGCCTTTATTCCCAGCACATGGAGGCAGAGGCAGGCGGATCTCTGTGAGTTCAAGGCCAGCCACTATCTAGGGCTAGACCACATTGGCCACATTTCTGGGCCCAGCAGCCCCCTAATTGGGCACAAGCTCAATGAAATGGACAGTATCCTGATGAAGATTCATACCTCACTGCTGTCAAAGGTAAGGCTTAGAGCACATTCCATGGTGAGGGAGTTACATGTTGCTGATATTTCCTAGAAAGAATAGAACTGCCTGAGAGCTTTGAAACACCATGTCCATTATTAGCCACTCAGCCATGCTTCTGCCATAGATGTCACCACACAGACTTGATGAGTCTTACCTAAAGCTAGGTACCTTCTAGATCACTGTTCCTAGGTTGGCAGCTTTTGGTGGAGTTATGTTCTGGCCAAGAAAGGCACATGAGAAATATAGCAGATAAAAACATAAGTATGCCAGAAAGTGGTTGGTGTCACAGGAAAACATGGGGCAGGAAGAAGCAGTACTCCTGTACTATGGAGAGACTATAATTTTAAATGATGTGTTCAGAGCAATCTTCCTGCCCATGTGACATGAGCAGACCCTTGAAAGGAAGGAGGGTTAGATGTATACTATCTGTATGGGCATATGCCAAGTGGTGAAGCATTAAGGGTCAAAAGCCTGCCCAATACCACTGGAGCAGTTAAGGTCAAATGGCCAGAGCTCAAGGTTGAGGTGCCCCATACACATGCCTTCCCATATCTAGAGTTCTTCCTGGGTGCTAAGTTTTTAAAATTCAAACAGACCTGCAAAATGAATGCCTTTAGGATATCCCTTGACAGGAAATTGGGGCAGGAGGAGTTATGTGCTCACAGCCTGGAAATGGCAAATACAAATCCCCTGCTGTCAGAGGCCATAAATACAACCCTGATATGCTTTGTGAGCTATGTAGTATTTTTCCTTTTACTTGTAGCATGATTTGACTTTGACCCTTTGATCTGACTGACCATAAGCTTATAGGAAGAGCTCTAATGCATTGAGGAAAAGGTCCTATTTATAAACTAAAGCTAAGTTCTACAGTTGTTTCCTTTGTAAGATTGTATATGTTTTTCCCACCCAAGTGCAGCTGAAAGGTTCTCCTTTGCCTTACAGGAAAGAGAGACTCTCTCACCCAGTTTGCTGGTTCTCTGTAGTGACCATGGAATGTCTGAGACAGGGAGCCATGGAGCCTCTTCCACAGAGGAAGTAAGCACACCTCTGATCTTAATCAGCTCTGCATTTGAAAGGAGACCTGGTGAGAATTAGGAACAATTAACATTTTAAAAACTATAGTCTGGTATAAATTTGAAATATCATGAGAATGAAAATCAAAGAGGAACTACATATGGTGGCATATGTCTTTAATCTCAGCACTCAGGAGGCAGAGGCAAGTGGACCTCTGTGAGGTCAAGGCTAGACTGGTCTACATAGTGAGTTCCAGGCCAGTTGGGGCAACAAGGAGACCCTATCTCAAACAAAAAAAAAGTTAAAGGGGAGATGGACAGTCAGGACTTCAAGTTTACATCCTTTGCCCTGATTTTCAAAATATAAATACTCTTTGTAAAAATACAAATACTCTTTTAAGAACTTTGTTGAAGGAAACCTAGGTACTGAAGTAGTCAAAGAAAATTTGCCTGGACCAGTGAGATAGCTCACCAGGTAAAGGCACTTATCACCAAACCTTATGTCCTAGGACCCACATCGTGGAAGGAGAGAAATGACTCTCTGAATTAGCATGCATACACCCATAACACACACACACACACACACACACACACACACACACAAAATAAATAAATAAATATATAAATACATACATGCATACATACATACATACATACATACATACATACATACAAATAGTGTAATTTAAATTTTTTTAATAAAAAAAATTTACCAGCAGCTAATACTTAAAGTGGCCACTATTTAAAACCATATGTTGAATAGCAATGACAGCTAGAATCAGGAATTGAGAGAGAGGAAAAGATGATCAACTAGCTGAGACTCTAGCCCTCAGAATCAGACCCAACCCTTTCTTTAACCTGTACCTGACTTACCTGACCTGATTATCCCCGCATAGCTGTATGCCCTGTGGCTCTGTAGGCTTCCACATAGGCCTCCATGTAGGCCTCCATGGACTGACATGCATACAGTGGGTACAATAAGTGCAGCTGAACCCTGTGGATATTCCCTGGTGTGGTTCTATAACAAAATGCAATGGGTTTACATTTTGGTGAGTGCAAAAGCCAGAACAAGCACAGCCAAGACATGAAAGAGTGGAGAAAGATGTATTACCTGCAGTAAGCAAAAAGAACATGGAAATCATTTCCAAAGCAATGCTTCCTCAGACATAGGAAGCATGGGGACTTTATTTAGGGAACTTATACATATTCATATATAGGTTGGACCATTCCTAGGCATGCTCAGTTAAGGAGTATATTCCTGAGCATGTTCAGTTTAAGGTCATAATTTAAAAAGAAAAAAATACATAGACATATTTGGGGACAGCTTAAAGTCATGGAGCAGTTTGTAAAAGTGATATAGAGAAGTGCGTCTTGGCATGCTCATCTTGCTTCATAAAGTTTTAACTAAAAATAAAGGCAATAATACTTTAAAGGTGCATTTACACAAGAACCTGTCCATGAAGGTGCTTGCTTTGTTTAATTACAGTCTCACTGACCCTGCCATACTAGTCAACACGACTGGTCCCAAAGACCCTGGGTTATCTCATTTTTATAGCTTTCCTCCCAATTCCCTCAGTTTACTGTGAGTTCTCATTGCTGGTCGTGTGTGTCTGTGTGTCTGTGTATGTGTTGTATACCTATGTCACTCTTGCTTCTAAGATAGGCCATCTGATTCAGTGATTGAACATGCTGTGAATAGCCCCCCATCATCAGATTTACCTCAGATTTACCCCTCTAGCTGTCTCTACTCTCTCAGTACCTAGCCTGGCCACCAACTGCCCACATGACCTCACAATTGAATCTCATGGATACATGACAATTTCATGCCCAAGCCTTTCTCTTCCCTTGATCTGTGCCAGCAATTGGTACCATCATCCACTTGGGTCCTTCTTACCCTCCATTCCTCACATTTCTTTCTGTCACACCTGTGACAGAAGCCTTTTAATAGATATACTTAATAAAGTAACACTTTGTAAGAGGCTTCGTACCAGCCTCATTACTTCTTTTTGAGCTTTATTTCCCATTGCTGACATGCCCTTCTGAGGGCCTTCCAACAGCTGGTACTGTTTTACCTACCAGTACTCTGTTATTCCCTTGGTCTCTTGCAGGTCTTAGGTAACATCACTCACTCATCCCTGAGATTAAAATCCTATTATCTGTCCATCTTCCTTCAACAGTCTCTTGTGCTTCCTGGTATCATTCTTTTTTAAAAATTTTATTTATTTTTTATATTGTTTTTATTGAATTTTTGTGTATTTCATACAGAACATCTCAAACAATCTTAATCAATGCTGGGTTTTTGTCTGCCTCAATTTGCATGGAACTTCTATATGCTGTGACCATTGCCATAGAATCATATGAGCAGGTTCCCATGAGCTTGTAGGACTCTGTTTCCATATGATCATGCCCATCCTCCCTGGCTCTTACAGTCTTTCTGCCCCCTCTTCCATGATGGTCCCTGAGCCTTGAGTGGATGAAGTTTAATATAGAAGTCCTGTCCAAGGACCAGCATTCAGCAGATTCTTGATCGCTATACTTTGGCTATTTGTGATCTTTTGTGTTCCTGGCCCTCCGCTGCTTGAGGGAGCTTCATTAATGAGAACTGAGAGATTCAGTAGTGTCCTGTTCTATGTTCCATGAGCCTTAGGTGTAGAGGCTGCATTGTAGATGTATCACTTAGGCCTGGGAAATTCATAGACAATGTCTGTGTGTGGCCAGTTGTAGTACTTGGTAATAATCTCTGACTGGTGCAAAATGAACTTCTTTGATGAGTTGTGACTAGGATATTTGTTTATAAGGATTTGGTGCTAGGATCCACATATGAGGGAGAACATTGTTTTTCTGAGTCGCTGTAACTTCACTTAGTATAATAGTTTCTAGTTCCATCCATTTACCTGCAAATTTCATGATTTCGTCTTTCTTTACCGCTGAGTAGAACTCCACTGTGTAATTGTACCACATTTTCATTATCCACTCATCAGTTGAAAGACACTTAGGTTGCTTCCATCTCTTAACTATTGTGAAAAAAACAGCACCAAACATGGGTGTACAAGTGTCTCTGCAGTAGGATGAGTCCTCTGGGTATATGCCAAGGAGTAGTATAACCAGGTAAAATGGTAGGTTCATTTTTAGTTTTTTAAGAGTTCTCCACATTGCTTTCCATAGAGATTGCACAAGTTTTCAATCCTACCAGCAGTGGATGAGGATTCCCCTTTCCCCACATCCTCTGCTACATTTGTTCTCTTGACCTTAGCCGGTCTGACTGGGGTAAGATGAAATCTTAAAGCGGTTTTAATTTGCATTTCCCTAATTACTAATGATGTTGAACACCTTTAAGATATTTCTTAGCCATCTTTATTTCTTCTTTTGTGAACTCTCTGTTAAGATCCTTAGCCCATCTTTTAATTGGGTTACTTGCTTTCTTGTTTCTTTGTTTTTTGAGTTTTTTATATATTCTAGATGTTAAACCTCTGTCAGATGTGTTGCTGGTGAAGATTTTCTCCCACTCTGTGGGTTTTCTTTTCACTTCCTTGGTTGTTTCTTTTGATATGCAGAAGCTTTTTTGTTTAGTGAGGTTCCGCTTGTTGATTCTTGACTTTAATTCCTGGGCAATTTATGTCTGGTTTAGAAAATCCTTTCCTACACCTATATCTTGTAGGTTATTGCCAATGTTTTCTTCTAACAGTTTCAGAGTTTCAGGTTTTACATTGAGGTCTTTGATCCATTTGGAGTTGACTTTTGTGCAAGGTGAAAGTTAGGGGTTTAGTTTCATTCTTCTGTAGGTAGGGATGCAGTTTTGCCAGCACCATTTGCTGAACATGCTGTCTTTCCTCCAGTGAGTGTTCTTGGCCCCTTTGTCAAATATCAGGTGGCTGAAATTGCATGTACTCATATTTGGGTCTTCAATTTTGTTCCATTGATCTATGGGTCTATTTTTGTGCCAGTACCATGTTGATTTTATGACTATAGCTCTGTAATATAGATTGAAATCTGGGGTAATAATCCCCGGCCCCCCCCCCCCCCCAGCATTGCTCTTTGTGCTTAGGTTACTTTGGCTATCCAGAGTCTTTTGTGCTTCCATATGAATTTTAGGAATTTTTTTTTTTTGTAATTCTATGAAGAATGTCATGGGGATTTTAATTGCCATTGCATTGAATCTATAAATGACTTTTTGTAGGATGGTCATTTTCACAGTATTGAGTCTTCTAATCCATAAGCATGGGAGGTCCTTCCATCTTCTGGTGTCTTCATCAACCTCTTTAAAAATTTAAATTTTTCATTGTAGAGGTCTTAATGCCTTTGGTCAAGTTTTTTTGTTTGTTTGTTTTATTTTGTTTTTTTTTTGAGACTATTATGACTGGGAGGGTTTCCATGTACTCTTTCTCCAATTGCTTATTATTGGTATATAGAAAGGCTACTGATCTTTGTAGATTAATTTTATAACCTGCCAATTTACTGAAAGTATTAATCATTTATAGGAGGTTTTTAGTGGAATTTTTGGGATCTAATATTTTTGAGATATAATATGTCGTCTGCAAAAAGGGATAATTTTGAAGGTGCCATTTGGGATGTGGGTATAAAGATGAATAAGATTGTTTGGGATATTCTGTATGAAATACACAAAAAAATCAATAAAAAAAGAAATATATAAATCAATGCAAACGTTTGGCTATTTGTTGTCATGAGTCTTCTGTGTACAATCAGTCATTTAAAAAATTCTAAATATGAAAAAGGGATAATTTGATCTCTTCTTTTCCAATTCTTACTCCTTTAATTTCCTTCTCTTTTCTTATTGCTCTAGCAAGAGTTTTGAGCACTATATTAAAAAGGAGTGGAGATAGTGGACAGCCTTGTTTGGGTCCTGATTTCAATAGGAATGCTTCCAGTTTTTCTCCATTTAGAATGATGTTGGCTGTGGGCTTGTTGTATATAGCTTTAATTGTGTTGAGGTATGTTCCCTCCAGTCCAATTCCCTCTAGGACTTTGAACATAAATGCATGTTGAATTTTGTCAAAGGCCTTCTCTGTATCTATTGAGATGACCATATTGGTTCTTGTCTTTGAGTCCATTT